ATATTATTTAAAACTGTTCGGAAATGCCAGTTGAGGAAGTATACTCAAGAGGAAAGTAGTTTAACACCATAGAAGAATTAAAAAGGTTTATTGAGGATACATGGAAGAATTTGAAACAAAACACTAATAAAAAACTGTATAAATCTTTACCACAAAGAATGTTGGAAGTAGTAAAAGGAAAGGGTAGAAATACACATTGTTACAAAATAACAAAGAAAATTCTATGTGTTGAATTTTTCCGGAAAACCGAACCTGTCTTATAATTTTGTCGCACCCGTTTTTCTTCTAAACTGTTACCATTAGTATAAAACAGCATACTGGTCAATTTTTTATATGTTACTTGCAAAAGTAAAACAAAAAAAACTTTGTACACATCCGTGGTTCTAAGAAACACTAGAAATTCACAATATAAACACAGTATAAATGCACAAATGAGTTTGTCCGAAAGCCATTAAGTTACAATTTTCAGTCAAGTTACAATTTTATACAACGTTAACGACTTAATATGCCCAAAAAAGGTATAAACGATACAGTTATGTACATCTGAATGGTTCATTGAAATATATTAACCTTGGAAAGCTGGGATTAGAAGAACAATTAATGGTTTCGAAGAGAACTACTGAATCATTGACGATTCTTCGGTTCAGTGCACACAGATGAGATGTTGAAGAGTCACATAACGTGTTCGCAATAATGAACGGTTCTATCTAGAGGACTGGAGCATAAACACAAATCAATGTTCTCGTACTACATTGATTACTGCACGGGAATCAGTGTGAATGAATCGGTGAAAGCGAGGGAATTTTCCAAGCAAAATAGAATGAACGGTTGTAGACGTGTCGGCGCTGTTTATGTAGAAATCGCAATACGTTTCAGTTGAATTGAGAAAGTCGATGCAATCTTCGATGCTTCCCGTAATATCGAACGTCACACAAACCATTAACCATTTGCGGATTTCGGCGAACAGTTGTCCGAATACTTGTGGTCGTTTGGCCGTACGGTGATACATTGTCGCGCGAAACTTCCTAATATCAGAATTTGGGGATATCGAACATTCAGGAAGTTCCTAAACTTTGTGTTCAAGCACAGAAATTCGTCTATAGCACAAATTTGTTTTTTCGTCGTGTGGATGTACAATTTAGGAGAGTTAAACTATTTCGTACAGAATTTTCTGTATACATTATGTTCTCAGTTAAGTTGACGGTGGCATTTGATAAATATCGTAACAATAGATACTACCTAAAAGTTTCTGAAAGTTGAACGAATTTCGATAAGCATGGAATTGAAAAATTTCTTAACGGCATCATTTTGTACGTTCTAAAGAATCTAATCAACAATCCTTTATTCGAAGAGCGGTGGGGACTTAATTATAATTGATGTCTATGAAATTACATAAGCTTGTAAAACCCGATAGTCACTTTCACGACATTATTTAATTTTTTTTTAGACAGTTTAGAGTCGATTCTGCTTCAAAAATTGTAACCCTTGTATAATAAAATTCGATTGAAACATTATTAACATTTCCAATACACTGATTTCTCTCTCATCAACTGCTTTCAGCTGTGACTAAGATAAAAAACGTAAGTACTATTGACATGAGACGAACACAGTGTATTGTTATCTATGTGTTGAGACTCGAAAATAATGTTTTACATTAATTGTGTTACAAACAATTTAGCTATTTCCAGAACATCGAGAAACTCTCCGACATCGTTGATTGTTTGAAATTTCTATTCGTAGACACGTATTCTAAGTCGTACACACATGTGAGATTACTGCATTGTGTATTATCCGATGTAGTCGTATGCAAGATCTTCTAACGTTGCCTACGGGAAAATTGTACGTTGATAGTCCCGGTCAACGACCCTAAATGACTTTATATTACAGGTTGCTGTATAGTACATTCGAATCTAGCTGCTTCACCTGGCTTGAAAATATTATTGCCATACGGTGAACGATTTCACGTTATTAAGCTTTTGTTAGGTGAATTACTTTCTTATTCTTGCAGTTTCGAAGATGCATACCGGGTGACAGAAATGCGCTATATATATTTGCACACTCTCAGTTGTTCGTAATTATATTATTTCAAAACATTGAGTATTATTGACGTCAAGATTTTATAGTGTTTCTGAATGCTGATATTTATGCTACGAAGCTTCATGCGAAATAAAAATGTTATGCATTAATTGCAAAGTGCAAGAACTGCATCGAAAATTTCATCTCCCAATTTTAAAGAGTCACAAATAAGGTGGATTCTTAAATTTCTCGGATATTAATATCGCATAATATCATTTTTACTCATTTTTGTCTATAAATTCATGCGATCCGCCGTCCAATGATAATCATAATTTCATTTAAATAAAAAGAATTCTCAGAAAAGTAATAAACGAGTTCCCCTTCCCTGGATTCTTATAGAGGCAAATCGACGAATTCGATCGACGGCTATAATATAACATATTGTCCGTTAAACTCAGGATATTTACTTTTTGTTTGCATGTTTTCCTGTACCTAGCCGGTTCGACCATGCTTATACGGTATGGGCGGAATTTGTGTCGATGAAATATTCTGCGAATACCACTCCTACTAATACCACTTTCTCGCTCGAGTTGCAAAGTACTCGTATGTAGAACGGGGGACACTGTGGCGAGAATGCGATATACATTTCCATCGTGTTTTAGAACCCAAAATTAATCACTACATTAGAATATCAATACAGTAAACTCTCCCTAGTTGACGCTCACCTTGGAAACAGAGATGAAAAATTTGAGAAGAGGAGATACGATTATTTGAGCCTTGCGGTTCGTTTTTATGGTTACCGATTGTCTACAACTATAAAAACGAGGTACAAGACTCGAGTAATCGTATCTTCTCTTCTCAAATTGTTCACTTTTGTTTCTATACTGAGCGTCAATTAGGGAGAGTTCATTGTATCTTGAGAATTAACACCTCGTTGGGGGGTCCGAATACTTTTCATATCTGACGCCAATCGCAACAACACGTGTCATCATAAACATGCCCTGCGACAGCAAGATCCTTAGATGTGACAATTTTTTATATACATGTTATCCTAAAATATCAAAACCTCGGAAGAGAAGAAACAAAATAATTTTTATTTCTCTGCTCATTTATTTCTGTATTCCGTATTTCCAATTAGTGAAGATGTTGTTCGAAAGACGACCTTCTGCAGGAATGCAAGCATTGCAACTAGCAGTAGATCTAAAAGTGCAGTTAGACACTGCTCTGTTGTTGCCTGGCGCGCTGCAGCTACTATTCTGACACGTGTATCAGTAACATTTAATCTCGTTTCTCCTTTATTTATAACAGCGTAATAAGAATTTTGATACGAGAAATGAAATTGTTCGCACTCCTATAGCAATCATTGAATGAGTTCTAAGTATCATTTTCCTAGTATAAGACGCTCTGCGTATGTTTGTTAGATTACATGCCAGATCGAATATATTTATTTAGTCGGGTGGTATCGCAAATGAGTGCACTCCAATTAGAGAAATTGCTACGCCACATTGGTTACTGCTAGCGATGGGTATAACGTTCGGTATCCACTCACGAATATCAAGCAATTGTACGTATTTAACAAATTATTCAATCATGAAATATAGAATTGCATCATTCACATTTTTTCAAGAAATATCAAATAAAACACCATTATGCACGAAATCATCTAAATAAAGAAAGTTCGAAAATTCGCATTCAACGAATATTCAATGTTTTTTCCAAACACAAAATCTTATCGATTAGATTTATTGTATATTTTCGGCTTATTTTTCATGTAGAATTATTTCTTTCCTTAAAATTGTGCTCGCAAGCGTAGTTGGGTGTTTGTATCGTCTTTGTAAAATTTAGAAAACCAATAGAAAGAAATAAGGAATATTTTCAACAGCAAGGAGCAGCAAAGAAATATAAACAAGAGTTTTTGAAACATGCAACTCGTAACTTTGCGGACGATATAAAACACTTATGATTGAGAATAATTTTTGTTACTACGTGTATTATTAAAAAACCGTAACATAAGTGTCGTTATTATTTTGTGAAACGTGTACTTTTAAAAAAGAAAAGATTGTGTAACAGTAATATGGTCTTTTCGAAAAGCAGAGTGCAACAATTAATATATTTCAAGCATCGAAAATTACCAATGAAAAGTGGTCGAGTTAAGTGGCATGCTATGTCTGTCCAATAATCGCAAATATCGTTACGTGCTTGCAGTGTACTTTAACCCATCACTAGCTACCAGAACGCAACACTACACGCGTATCATGAACTCTATGCATATAGCGGAAAAGCTAGTCGATTGTGTGTACGAGATACCACTTGAAGGTCATGCGCATCGAGTTCAATGTCCCCAGAGTTCTGTAAATTATATTGGAGTTGTGTTATAATTTTTCAAGCTGAATAAAACAGAGTTAGACAGATAAGAGGGACGTCCAAATTGAAACCGCAATTTGAAACAGCAAGCGTAGTACTGTTTCCATCTCAAACTCGTGGTATTAGTAATTACATAACCATTCTTATTGAAGATGACAGGATAGCAAACGCAGATGACTATTATGCTGCGCGTAATTACTCGTTTTCTTGCGAGACGATGATTCATAACGGTGCAACAGTGTTCGAGTAATGTTTCTTAAATAATACTGACATAATCGTATCAGTCGGTGACAATGGGTGCAATGGAAAAATTACGACAGATACTTAATACTGCGAACAGCGAACGCTTGAACGGAATATTTTGAAGTTAGCCTTGATGCAAAAAATTTGGATAATGAGTGTATTAACTTGCTAAATTTTTGCGGTATCGAACAACTCAGTTTGGAGATCAAACTTTGAAGAAGACGTAGGTGCATGATGCGCGTGGTTCAATGAAGAGGAATCTGTCAGTGACAACGTTGGCAGAGAAATCTCGGATACCACATGATACGATAGTTCGGATACTGTAAGACAGCTCTTTACATTCTGTAAAACACACGGAAAAATAAGATCGGTGTCTGTTTCGTTGGATATTTCTGTATGATTTATTCGTAATACTTAGAAAGTAGATAAGTTGTAAAGAGATGTACTTAAGATATATATGTACTTTTATGTGTAATTGTTAAGACTTGCTGCAATTTCCTAATTTCAGCAAACCTGTTTATAAAACAGAAAACAGCTTAAGAGAAAAACAAAGTGTGAACATTTTTCAAAAATACAGGAAGAAAGAAGGTATGTTAGCCTTCTTTGAAATATGTTTCGATTTTCTAATTTAACTTAACCCATTCCTTGTGTATAAAAATAATTATTTTTCGCATCTTTCTATTTTTCCCTATCTTGTGACGTTTGGTCATTTATTTCGTTACCAATTGCCATTTACTGCAACGAAATAAGATTTTGTTAACGAAAATAATATTTCCGGAGCTCCTACTTCAAGCCTACTACATATGATCACCTGCGGAACGTGATTGAATCGTTCACAATCAGTATAAAACATGTATATGGGGCTCCTATAAGCTGTTCTTAACCGTGCAGCAAGTACTGTAACACGAGACTCGGGATTATGAGAATTTGAAAATGAGCCAGATGTGCCACATCCAACATTATGCTTGTCGTGCTAACAACTTATACTTAGAACGGCTAACATATCTTAAACGTAGAGTTCGTCAATTTCTAATCACTAGACTGCGGATCTTTGTGTAAAATAAAAATTTTCCAAGGCAATTGTAGAAAACAGAAATTAAATGAAAATAAATTATTTCTTTCGATAATCTTCATAAGGTCAAAACACTGTAACATTATTATCAGATTCTTCTTATGTCTTCATAATTTCATATTTCAGCTACTCATTTTTGTTATAAATGCATAAAATCCGCAGCCTACTAATCACCACGGTGACTCAGTCACGTTAACAGTTTACATCACAATGACTAAGTTACGTTAACACGTTATGCAAAGATTTTAATAAACATGTAAATAGCAATAACAATTTAGATAGTAAAATAGCAAATCACCATGAGTAGTGCTAACTAATAACTTCCAATAGTATCATTACTTAATGAAAGATTCCGAAACTCCGTTTCAGCACAGTCGTTTACAAATAGGTTTCCTTCGGTAAAGTGTTAATATTTCCAAGATAGATTGTTTACTCGATGCACATCTCTGTTCTATAGATAATGTTCATGATTTATTGTGCTTGACTGTTTCCAAGCGCCGCGTGTGATACACGAAAGTAATTAATTGTTAACTTCATCAGCATTGCTGATTCACTCGAGCGTGGTTGCAGCTCGTTTGCTTTCATTATATTCGCTTTCCATTGTTCTCCGTTATGCCAGTTGGTTCCATGCCGGGTATCCGCTAACCGGAAACGCGCTGGAAATCGCGGAACCTGCAAGATCGACACTTATGCTCGATATCCACGGCCGGAGAGGTTTCTCTGCTTTTTTATCAGCCGTTCTTACCTGGATTCTTTTCTTCCGCGGCATTCCCCTTCCTTACGATCGCTTTTCCCTCGACGGGCCACGCACCGTAATTCACTCCTCAGAAGTTACACAAAACTTGCCTATCTCTGTGACGAAACCTTGAAGAGGCTAAACATCCGAGGACTCGGTTTCCGCGCTAACTTTTTTGTGTACCACTCCCCTGCGCCGCGAACTAAATGCGCAAGATCAGAAAATAATTGCTACGCCTTTTGCGCATCGACTACCATGCGAGTATTAGCCAGAATTATAGTTGTGCAGAGAGATACGTTTAACCGGTTAGCTGTTTTTGACGAGTATATAAAATGTTGCTATTTCTTCATGACGAGTATACTCGTAAAAAACAACTAACTGGCTAAGAAGAACTTATATGTACTTTATTAAATTATAACAGGGCGCGGAGAAATATATAATATTTATATCTAAGATGAAAAAATAAGACACTTAAATTTAATATTTTATGTATCAATTTAAGACATTTCAATTTAATATTCTATATATTTTTCCAGTTTTTACAAAAAACATATTAATCACAAAACTGAACAAAAGAATTTGTATTATGTGTTCAATATTAGCTCTCCTGCTTCAACACACTTTCGAAATCTTTTCCAAACTTAAACGATCGATGGGAGACTTACCTTAAATAATAATAATTTTAATTCTTTTTCCTTTTTAAAAAGTTTTTTTTATTATATTTATGACTCGGATAGTTTTGCAATACGTACATTTTTATTATAAATAAATCTGCATAGAAATTAAAAATATTTTATTGACAAGTACAAGATGTTTTTAATAAGTTGGAAGATAACAATATATTTGACACTTGTTTCTAGAATTTGAAAAAATTTATTTAACATCGTCGATACGCGTATTACTAAGTTACCGACGGTGTAGGCTTAAAATTATGCGCGCCTGACGATATACTACTGCTGTATCGCTACTGTCTGACTGTTGTCATGGTTGCCTACTGCCAGGCACTTCAGTGGTCAGTACTAGCCAGACACAGCCTCGCTTGGAAGTTGAGCAATTTCATCATAAGTGTAACAATATTTGCGATACGATTGTCAATATTCTTTGAATTTACGGAGTTTGTTATAAATAATAACATAAACATATTTACATAATCGTAATGACGTATTAAATTATAATACATCACTTTATTAACACTTTATCGTCCGGTCGTGGTTGAGGCTGCCACTCAGTAAGGACTGGCTTAGTCGCGCGCGCATTTGCTCCCAGTACCGGCTAAATTTTCGCTATTCATTGTGTTGTGCTTATTCCTTTAAAAACAATAATAAATAATAATAATTATTATAATTATAATTCATAAGGATATGGGGAGGTCAGCATACAGGAGGTCAGCTACTAACAAAACAGTAAAGAAGCGAAAACCGTCGATAGCTAAAAGTCGATTAATAGGCTATCGGTCGATAAGCATTGGCAATCGAAAAGCCGATTACTAGGCTAGCGATCGATAAACATTGGCAATCGAAAAGCCGATAA